CAAAGGATGCCGTAGGCTTAGGTAAAAGGGAGCGTCTTGGTAGAGACGGACTTCGACCAAGGCGACATTCAACTCTGGCAACTCGGGTTACCTTTACTGACTTGGTCGTTAGAGGGCTAAGGTATATATCGCCCCGCCGGAGCCAGTACAGTAGCTCGCGGCGCTAGACCCTAGATCTAATCTAGTGTCAGCAAAATTAATGCTAAGTAATTAACTAAATAGAATAAAATAATTAAAAAATAGTACTGTGCAATTATTCACATGTGTGTCCCCCAACCCGGACTATTTGTTATATCCAAAATATTTTCCTTTCTTTTCACCCCCCTGTAGAGCCCCATATTTCACTACATATCCCCCTACTGAGCGCCCTTGCGCTACGCAACATCAACTTAAAATTGCCTCGTTCTCCTAACTCGCACATTCCTCGGGCATCATGTCTCCGACCGACGGTCATCTCGTGCCGTCTCTTCTGCTTCGTTCGCTTCCCTTTTCGCGATTCCCTCGCGGTGTGTGTAAGCAAGGGCAAGACGAAAACCCTTTCCGTATATCCTCAATTGACCCTCCTTCCGAACCACGCGTCGAATCCGCCCGATCCGCAAGCGAACAAAGTCCCTGTTCCAAACTCCGACGACGTGTGCTTATCAGGTAAGCCCTATGCGCCCGGGGGCTTCTTTTCGTGCCCCGGCTACCACGCTTTGTCAGCATGTCTGATCCGGCTTTCCATCTGGGCTTCAATCCTCGTTCCCCTATTCGTCGATATCCCTCGCCGGATGAATTCCAAGATAAAACTAAGCGTCAAAACCTTTCCCTCCTCGCTACGGCCAGGTAGCTCTCCTGCGGAGGCTCTCCGTAGTCGACAAATTCGGTTTCCAGGTACCCCTTTCCAACACTGTCCACTCCAGAGTGCCGATCCTCGTGAAGCGGACCTATCCTCTTGGCTTTCCGTTCCTTGCTCCCCTTGCCTTACAGGCAACTCTGTGGCTTCCTCTGTAGGACCTCCGTCTCCTTCCACGCGTCCCGACGAATCGTCAAAGCTCCCAAATCCGTCCATCCACCTGCAGTCGCAACCGACCCCACCATTGCCGTAACCTGTGGCTTCGGCCTGTCCATCTCGTCCTGTGCTCTCCAAGAAGGAACTCTCTTCATCTTCGCGTCTTACAGACAGCCTGGCGACGTCACCTACCGTATTCCAGAATGAATACCCTCTGCATGTTTCTCATTCCCAACTCTTCTACAGCTCCACTCCTCTTTTTTTGACTGCGCCTCCGCCCTCGCGGTCGCGGTCTCCCTCATTCCTTCATTCCTTCTCTTTTTCATGACGTGCATCCCCAATCCCCTTCTCTCTTTTTTTTGAAAGCCCTCCTATTTACTTCGCACAGGATGCCGTTGGATTGGTTTCTCACCTCCTTACTAGCCAGCCATACGGGACCCTCCATGACGTTTCTTGTGAAAGTGTCCCCTGCCAGGAGTGGTTCGGCCCAATTTAGCCTGTGCACGGAGTCCTATGACATCCCACCTCGACGTCTAGTGAGGGGCCGGGAGGATCCTCCGGTCATTCCCTCTCCTCCTTTCTGATAGCAATTCAGCAACTTGCGCTACCTCTTTTGAATCCAGCCGGCGCCGTGCTCCCTGCAGTGAAAACTCAAATATACGCGATCCTCTGACATACTGAGAGCCTTTCGTCCTGAACTCGGAATTGATTTCATCCATCCCCACATTGTCCGTCTCCGTTACTTGATTCTTCTGCCACTGCAGGTCTCTTGCTCTCGAAAATTTTTGAACACAGTAAAATGCAGCACATTCTGTTTCATCGTCGCTTGAACGCTGTATTTCTCGCGAGCTACACATCAGTAGTCGTACAGATAGCAGATTGACGTATCACATTCCCTCTCGGACCTATGATTCTCCTCTTCTCCAGGGAACGATATCTTTCATTTATACCGACCCGCATTTCCCAACGTCTTGATTCAATCTTCCAGGGTTCGCCCTTCCTTCTCACGCACCAGCGGTGTTCATATGGGCTGTTGTATGTAGCTCTGGAAACGCTTCCCTTGTATATTTTGTCGAAAACAATACGGTAGCAAGCCTTGTGTTTCGGCCTAACCAAGACAGTTTCTCCAATTCTTCATCGCGTCTACGTGCGTTGTGTCCCGGATCGGGGACATATGTAGTCAAATAAAAATCGAGCGTAGCGGAGAAACATTTTTCTCTGATCCTCTATCGCGGGGGTGGTCGGTAGCGAGGTGTTCCACCGGTTGAAAATGGTGTAACAGTATAGCTGCGATCGCCACTTAGGCATTTACGGGTTGACGTCATCTCCCCGTGAGGTAGGGAGTGTAACTTCAACGAAGCTTCGATTTCCATTGCCGAGTTGCGTCGTATCTCTTGCTATGCGCAGGATCCCCTCATCGTCGCTTCACTTGGTTCCTGTAAGACAACCGCAAATTATTATGCTTGCAAGTCGGTCGAGCTTGCCCGTTGACCTCGCCGATCTCATAAAAACAAAAAGAAAAGAACGGCTTGTTGTGACCTGGCATCCTGATGTTCTACAATTCCTGCGAACGTCTCATGTCGGCTTCGGGGACGAAGCTGTGCGTGAAGGTTGCACTTTCCAACAACATTATCTGGCATGACACGTTTTCTTAAATTAAATTTCTCGGTGGATTTCGGTGTCCGATTCGGCTGCACACACTTTTCGCTATTCAACGTCAAGAGGTACGCCGCTTCAATGATCTTGCACATCGCGCAAGATTTCCGGGTTAGCGCATCAGCTGTGGTTGTCCAATCCTCATCCAAATTTCGTGCGCTCATCCTGTCGCGGTATTGCTCGTCTGCGACTCGGTTCCTACGTCCTTCGGCGGAGTTGGCGGTGAAAGGGGGGCGGTGAGAACCGCGGTGTCACTGACGAAGTCTTCTGTCCTGTGCGGACCTCGGCTTGCGTCGTCGAAAATTCCCCTCATTCGTAGACCTCTTCACACGCGCGGTGCTACTTCCTAGACTCCCACGGGCCTTTCCCATTTTTTTCTTCGACCACGGCGTGGAGCTCGGTGACACAGCGTCACACGGGTCCCTCTCGGGTTTCATCAAAGGCCATCAACGCTCCAAGGTGCTGGATCGTCCGAAGTATGAAGCCGAATGAAACACAGCTTGATCGGACCGATCATGAGAGAGAGCCTTCCCGCACCGCCGCAAATTACCTCCTGTCCATGGCGCTCCCTCATTACTACTGTACCGTGCGTCGCGATCATGGCGCTTCTAGTTATTGCCACTCTTCCCGTTGTCTGACGACTTCCTCTCTGCCTGGCTCTCGCCGTTTCGTTGAAACTCTCGCCGTACAGTAAGGATTTCCTTCATCCGTCAGCTCCTCCTCAGCCCCGCTTTGAAGTGCGGGAATCCCGCTACGCGTGGTATCATCCGTAGTCTTGCCAAAGGCATGATTGATCTTGAAGGCCATCGTCTCCTCAGTGGCCTCTGCTGAGTCCTCGCACACTTGCTGACCGACCCCCGCTGTGCGGGGACGTTTCCTCGGCTTCCCTTAATTTTGATTAAAATTTCGAAGACTGACCAGTGTTCGATTTTCGATTTTCTCCGCCCGTCCAGCAGCTCTCTGCCGGCATCCCCATTTTTTTGATTAAATCATGCCCCACGAGGGCGTGTCACTGATCCAAGCGTCCCTTCACGTGCGCGCGGCGGCAGCGCGTGATCGCATCCAAGGAGGTGTATTACCTCAGCCTGAGACTACAGTAAATTTTTCATTCCACGGCATGGCTGGGCAGGCCATTTCATTCATGGGCGGGGGTCCCGGGCAAAATCGCTTAAGTTATTTCATTTCCCTTCTCCTCACTCTGAGGGATCTCGTTTCCGGCGACTGTCCTTACTCTCTCCCTCCGCGACGCAGTTCACCGCATCACTTCCAACTTGAGAGCCTCCGGGTGGGGATCATCCCCAATACAATTTCAACATTTCCCTTGCGGTCTTATCGCGTCCCGCATCATTGACTTCCTCTTGATCAGCCTCCCTCGCATGCGCCTCTACATCAACTGCATCTTTTCCCCTTCTTCTCCCTCGACTCGAGGGTAACCCGCTCGTCTGCCTGACACAGCCCGCTATCCCTTAGAGAATACTGTAGTCTGTTCCTCCTTTCCCCGAACGGTAACACGACACACACGCGACTACAGCACGACGCTTTTCCTTCACTTACACCTTTCCAACTGCGTTCCGCGTTCTCTTGCCTTCCGCCGTCTGGTTTCTTCCAGACACTTACTCAATTTGGCACAGTCCGTCGTGCTCAGTTATTCGTAGAATACACTTCTTCCTCGGCCCGACACACAGCGTATTAACTTGCTTACGATCGACGGCTTGCACGGGACTAGGTACGCTCGTCCGAGGGTCGCCGAACGATAGGTGTTGTAAGGCTCATTCACCTTGGTCCGCGGTGCGGGTTCTTTCTCCCTGCGTCCTGTCAAGAGACAACCGAAAGCACACAAAAAGAAAAAACCAAACCAAACAGAGTAGAACAAAAACAAAAACAAAAGTAGTGGGTTACTGTGGTCAGGGGGTAAGTAAGTCCTCGATGAGGACGATGGTCATGTGAAAGTACATGGTACAAAACAAGCGCGCGTCTTGCTCGGTCTTCAATCTTAGCAGATCGACGGCGAACGTCCCCTGTGTGTGCCGTCGGCGGCGGCGACAACAACAAAAAAAAGTAATTATTTTGGATTAACTTGCTCTCCGAGGACGGGACACTGATCTCGATTGTCGTTTCGCGTGCATCCGTTGATGACGGGGGTGCGTCTTCCGGTAGGCTCAATGCCTCGTCCGGGGGCACCGCATCACTTCAAGTCCCTAAAACGCGTCGCTCGTCGTTCCCCTCTCGTAAAGGCGTTCCGCGTTCTCTTGCCTTGCTCCTCTCGCTCCGACTTTCCTTGCTTGCGGACCCCTTCTGCTCCAAATTTCTGACTCCTCCGTGTTCCTTAACCTGCTGATTCTATTGATGATGACTATCCCACTCGCGCGCGCGCGACTTGCGGCGGCAAGGGTAACTTCTTCCTTCCGAAATACGTGACGGCCGCACTGCGGGGTAACTGCTCAATGGGCTCCCACGTCCCGTCCTCGGGCGTATAGCCGTACCATTCCACCTTGAGAATCAAATTACCATTTTGATACTCGTGGTCGGCGACCCGATCGATTACGTATTCCGTATTCTCCGTTTCCTCTCCTTTCTCTGAACTGTTCCCTTCCCCCTCTTGAAGATCTTCCAATTCGTCCTCTTCTCTGGACTTTCCGAAATCGCGTAGGTCCGGAGATGTCTCCGCTGTCGGCGCTTGACTAATTAGATTGTCCTGGTCCCCTGACGTAGGCGCACGGGTGTGAGGACATTCCTCGTCCTCCATTACCTCTCCTTCTTCGTTTAGCTCCGGCGCTCCCAGGAACTGTAGCGCTTGACGTAGGCCAGTTATCGGCGCATAGTCCATCGGGCTTGGGGCTAACTCCACCCTGTCTCGCGATACGCGTTCCTCCTGATCGCCAATGGCAATGACTACCGTATGTTGATCCGATCTTCTGACGTGATAAAGTCCTGTAGCGACTTGTGCCAGCTTGTGTTTCGGTTCGCTAGCCGTGCCCTGCTCCTTCCGAAGGAACACGTAGGACCCCGGTGGGATCTCATATTGCGGATTGCGAAGGCGTGCGTCGAAATTTCGCTTGTACCGGGCTTGTTCCTTCCGCAAACTCTTATCGGCGCCTCGCATTAGGCTCTCCAACCACGACTGCCACTTCATGTAGTATGCTCGTGACGAGCTAAAGTTCTCCAAAGTTGGTTGCACTTGTAACGCAATGCTTCTCGGCGCCCGAGCTAACACCAGCTCGAAGGGCGTAATGTTCGTAGTTCGATGAACTTGTGTGTTGTATGACAACGTCACAGCGTCGCTAAATAAGTCCCAGTCCTTGGGATGCTCTCCAACATATTTTCGCAACGCGGAAGTCAGCGTGCGGTTAAACCCCTCAACTTGGCCGTTGGCTTGCGGGTGGTACGTATTCGTGAACACATTGCGTATGCCAAGAATTCGGCATACATTCTGAAAGAATCGGGCCGTGAACTGTGTTCCATTGTCGGACAGCAGCTTGACCGGCGGTCCGTACAAGAATACCCAATGGTGAACGAAGGCTTGTGCGATGTGTGCAACTGATATCTTCTTCAACGGTACGGTTCGTACCAGTTTCGAGTATCGATCGCTGATCACGAGAATATACCGATTTCCTCGTTTAGTTGTAATTAGCTCGCCGAGGATGTCGATGGCGACAAACTCCAGCGGAGCTTTGGGCGTGAAAAGCTTCATTTCATTCGTGTTTCTTCTTAACTTCACCCTTTCCCGCGCACATGCGGCGCAATTCTTCGCGACTGCATAGCAGTCTAGGGCCATCGTAGGCCAGTAAAAAATCTTCTGATTGTCTTGTAAAGTTTCCTGCCTCCCGGGTGGCCTGCCAATTTTGCGTAATGGCTTAACCCTAGGACGCGGTCCCTTAACGATTGTGGTATTACCACTTGTACAAACTCCGCCGCAGTACGGCATAGAGTTCCTTCGAGTTCCTCGGTCTCCGTGCTGAACGTTCTCACCTTTCCGGCTTCCATTTCTTCCTTGATGCGGTTGCAGAAGGGGTCGACGGCTTGCTTGCGAATGAGCTCCTCCGGAGTGACAGCTTGGAATTGATCGAGGCGATCAGGGGCGGTCCCCCCCTCAAGAGCGATGATGTCGTCTGCCGCGTCAATACTTTCCTCGTCCTCCACTGTACCCTCGGCCGGTTCGGCTATAAAGCATGGAATTTCGTCGTCGATTTCGTCGACGGTTTCTCCTGCGGTCCGTAATCTTGACAGGGCATCGGCTTGGCTGTTCGCCTTGCCCTTCTTGTACTTGATTTCGAAATCAAATTTCGAGAGGCGGAGCCTCCATCGGATTAATCTCCCGCTGGGGTCGGTTACGTTCATCAACCACCTCAATGAGGCATGGTCGGTATGCACAATGAAGTGCTCGCCATATAGATATGGTCTTAAAGTCTGTACGGCCCAAATTACCGCTAGACATTCTTTTTCTGATACAGAATAGTTTCTCTCGGCTGCGGCTAACGTTCTTGAAAAGAACTCGATGGGTTTACGTTGTGCACCCGGGTGTGTCTGAAATAATGCAGCGCCGATTTGATAGTCGCTTGCATCGGTCTCTACCGAGTATGGTAGGTTCTCCTTCGGCAGCACCAACACCGGTGGCGCCAAGATAGCGTCCTTGAGCTTATGAAAAGCTTTTTCGCACGGTTCGTCGAATCCTTCCAACTGGACTGGTTGTCCCTTCTTCAACAGTTGATTGAGCGGATGCGCGATTTTCGCATAATGCGGAACGAATCTGCGGTAGACATTACAAAGTCCCAAAAAGCTCCTGAGCTGGGTCTGCGTTTGAGGGTACCTCACTTGTTCCAATGCGACGGTTCGCGCAGCGTCCACTTCCAATGTACCTGGCCGAACGACATGGCCCAGGTACTTGATCTTTTCGACGAAAAATTCACACTTGCGAAGCTTGAGCTTCACACCTGCCTTCTCCAATACAGAAAGTATTTCATCCACGTGCACGATGTGCTCCTCCCACGACTTGCTAAAAATTATTATGTCGTCCAAATACACCAAACAGCACTTCCAACGGAACGGAGAGAGCAGAATATCCATTGCTCTCTGAAACGTCGCTGGCGCGTTAGTTAGCCCGAAGGGCATTCTTGAGAAGCGATACAGTCCTGAGTGACACGAAAATGCGGTCTTGTCGCGGTCGCGCTCAGGGATAGGCATCTGCCAATATCCCGAGATCGCGTCCAACGCGGAGAAATCCTTGGTGTCACCAAGCGAGTCCAGGCACTCATCCATGCGCGGTAAAGGGTACGTGTCCTTTACTGTCACCGCGTTTAACCGACGATAGTCTACGCAAAAGCGCATCGATCCGTCCGGCTTCGGCACTAATAAAACGGGCGACGCCCATTCTGACTGCGCCGGTTCGATGACTCCTGCTTCTAACATCTTCTGTACTTCTGCGTCCTCGACCTCCCGAGCCTTTGGACCGGCTCGGTAGGGAGCTTGTGCAATTGGCCTTGTATTCGGGGCCAGTTCAATCCGGTGGACCGTGGTATTGATCTCACCGAGGGTCCCATCCCACATGCGGGAATACTTTTTCAACATTCGACGGAATCTTTCGCGCAGCCGGTCCGGCACGTGGCTCAGGTCGAGTTCCTCCACGTCCGGCGGGGGAGGCTCAATCCGCCGCTCCGGCTTCGTAGTTGCCGTCGCGGAGAGCTTTTCCTTCCGTTCTCCTTGCTGTTCCTCGCGGTCTTGATCCGACGGTTCGCATCTTGTCTCGCCCGTAGGCGTCTTGGTGGAATTAGGAAAATTTTCCTTCTTCCTTTCTTGAATTCCGAGAACTTCACCAATGGTGGTTTTGCTCTCGAGCGCGGCTCTCGGGTGCAGTAATAATTCTGCCACCACTTGGCCTTTTTGCACCCTGACAGGGTACGTCCTAAAATTCGCAACGAGTAAACGGAATGGCCGGTCAGGCTCAACCTGAACGACACCATTCGTGCACGTCAACCCGTGCCTTTCGTACAACGACGAGTACGGCTGAACCACAACCAAGCCCGCCCTCTTCGAGGTGCATTCCACAACGCGTTGCGTCCCTGGCTCGATAGTCGTGGCTCTTGCCACTTTACCTTAGGGGAAATTCGCTCCACTTTTCCATCATTCTCGTCCTCGCCCGGGACGAGATTCGTCTTCCCTTTTCTCGTCGAGAACCGTTTAACTATCGGAACCTCCGAGAAATCCGCCAACTCAACCGTTTTCTTATTTGGATAAATGGCTTCCACAAACCGGTCACAGTAGTCCGCGCCTAGAATTAGCGGGACGGCTAGTTTTTCGCCTACAATAAACTCGGCCGCGGCCACAAATTTTCCAAGCCTCACAGGCATTCTAATCGTGCCGAGAGTCCGGAGTGGCCTATTGTTCGCGTCGCCAATGTCTTGAGTCGGTCCGTAGGACACTAGGTATTCCATTCCAGCCGGGAGTTCCGATTTTCGCACAAGGTTTGGTCCGGCGCCGGTGTCTAATACAGACAACACCCGGCTCATCAATCCGATTGTGGGTCCAATGTCCGCGTAAACTTTGTAGTTTTTTCGCGCAAGAACCAAAATCTTCTCGAGACACTCCCTTCGCTTGACCCTGTACCAGGGTCTTCGAACTTCTTCCAGCGGATGATCTCGGGCTCGGCTTAAAAATTTCTTGACTTGAGCTGGCCCTTTGGGCTTATCCACCAATCCAACAACCTCCTCATCGGGGCCTGATTTTTCCCTTAGAGACGGGGAACGGGGCTGAGCCCCGGGCACAGTACGTCGACCCTGTGCCTCTCGCGACTCATGCGAGATTCCCCTCTCTAGTTTTCCTGCCGCTGCGGGATCCTTCTCACATCCGACGGCACGGGCCTCGCGGCGGGCCCTCTGAAGGGTTGGTTCGACCTCGGCGTTGAAGCACTCGGCGCGCTCGCCGTCTGCGAATCGAACCAATTCTTGACCTTCAGGTAACTCGTCGATGGTATCCTTAACCTCTCCATCGGAGACAACGCCTCATAATTTTCCAAGACTCGGTACATTTCCCGGAGGGAAAGAATGCACGTTGGCGCGGCGTGCCCCTTTTCATAGCAATGATAGCACACCAGTCCGTGCGTCTTGACATGATATTGCGGCCTAGGCCCTCCACGGGCCGGCGGCCTTCCTTGAAGTTGCGGCCTTCCCATCCATCTTGGCCTTCGAAACGTTGTACCCTTGTCTTCCATTGGAATGCGCGGCGCCGGCGTGTGGCCGCGCCCCCGAAACATCATCACGGGATCCGTGGGCTCTGAAAACGACTCCGTCGTGTATGCGGGCGTCGGTAAAGTTGACGACCCGCTTGCCCCGTAGTCGTCGTGTCCGTAGCCCTCCGATGGCTCAATGAACTCGCCTTCGGCTACCAACGCGCCCTCGTAATGATTTTCGCTACTTCCGTGCGCACCGCGCTCATCTGACGCGGAAATGGACTCGGCTAAATGGACGGCGGCGTGACTTTTACAACCGGGATAAGAAGCCCTCGGATCTTACCCGCCCTAATTGGTGACGGCGTCTGGATCGTGACCTTCTTGGTCTTCTTGTCCTTAGCGCGGCTCGCCGAGCCATGCGCCTTCGCGTAATTAACTAGTCTCAAAAACGAAACGTCCCGATTGTCTTGCCGGTATTGAAATACCATCGGCTTGATACTCGAATCGAGTCGTTCAATAAACATCGTCATTTGTTCTTCCATCGTATACGTTCCCACATCGATTGCTCGCGTCCGTCAGACGGATATAAAATTCCATCTCGTCTTCAGACGGTCTTTGCTGAACTTCTCGCAATGCGAGCACGGCTTGACGGATCGCCTCGTCGGTTGCGAAACTCCTCAACAACCACTGTACGGCCTCCGGCCAAACAGATACCTTTCCGTGGTGGGACCCGGCCGTCTGAGACACCGAAGTGTACTGCCTCAAGGCGATGCCGCTTAGAAATTCGGGCAACAAGCGGAACGCTTGCCCCTCGTTCATTTCTTGAGTATCAAACTCTTGAACTAATTTTGCCAAAAAATCCAACACAAGGACCCCGTCCTCACCTGTGAACGTGTTGTCCTTCTTCACCTTAGGCGGACTATCTCTCCTGATTTTTCGCACGGCGGTCCGCCGGGAACTTGACAAATATGTCTGCGGGTTCCGCAAGCGGTACGTTCGGTACGAAAGTAATTTCTTGAAGAGGTAGTTGGTCGGATTCAGCTCCTCCAACTCCTCCCATCGCGGCCCGCGCCGCGTTGCGACATCTTCGGGCTCCGCGTCCTTGTCTCTCCGCGAGGCGGACGAAGTGATTCCGCCCCGTCTGGAGGTAATTTTCTTGCCCTGCGATATTCCTTTTCCTTCCTCTGAACGATGTTCGGAATCGCTGGCATGGTTCGACGAACCGTCGTCACCATCTTCGGAAAGGCCATTCGACTCGGCCGTTGAGTCCTGGCCCTCCTGCTCGTCACTACAGTGACTCTTGCTCCGGCGTCGCAGATTCTTCTTCGAAGTCTTCGACTTGGAACTCCGCTGTACAGCGGCCTTGTCGTTCTTCGATCGACAGTCGCCTTCTCGACCCGTGGGGAGCGGCTCTTGCCCGGCGACCTGTTCAAGGTCCTTGAGACGATGAGCGGCGCGGTCAAACCTGTTGTCGATACTGCTCCTAAATTTTCCTAAGGACTCCAAGGCTTGATTCGCGTCGCGCCTCGCGTCCTTGACTGAAATTTTCAACGAAGCTAGGACCTCCGGCTCCAGACCGTCGGTCGCCTCACCTCGCTCCTTCTCGACGAGATCCACTCGAGCCGATAGCTCTCCTAAAACAGTGTGGAACTCGGATGCTTGCAACTCCAGTTGCTTCCGGACGAGGGCTAATTCAGCCTCGAGATTTTTCGTCATCTCTTGGCGAATTTCCTCGCCCATCTTCTCGAACCTGTAGGATAGGTTATCCTTGTCGGCTTCAATTCCCGTCGGGATTTCTTGACCTTCGAGATCCGTGGCCGTATTGGCCTGGCTTCGGGTGCGAGGACCTCGCTGGATCCTCGACGCCCTTGCCGATCCGCTCCTACTCGCCCCGGGACCGACGTCCCCGGGGGCGCTTGTCGACATCGCTCGAGCAAGCGAACCTACACAAAAAAATACAAACAAAAAATAAAAAAGAGACTCCGTTACCCAGACCACTTTCGTAGTACAACTCCAGATCAGGACTTTCGTAGGCAAAATTCTTGATCAGGTCTCCTGTACACCAAACTATTCTAGGTCGGGAGACCACTTTTGTAGTGCGTCTCCAGACCGGGACTGTCGTAGGAAAAGTCTGGATCAGGTCCCCTGTACACCAAAGTTTCTAGGTCGGGAGACCACTTTTGTAGTGCAGTGTGCCTGGCAGGCCGCGAACACAGTCCGACGGTCAAACAAAAAGACGAAAAACAACAGCAACAACAACAACTGACGATGGCACGCGCTACGGAGCGTTCGAGACTCCCTTTCCCCTTGTGTGGGCTTGCGGCCCACGGTAGCTCAACTCCGACGGGGGGGTAAGGAAAGATGCCCGGCCCGGGAGGAAAATGGTGGTAGAGACTTGTGAAGACTTGAGCGCTCGGCAAGTGCGGGTTGGGCTTGTCTACGAGAATGTAACCGCGGTTCGCTGGGTTGTAAGGCCAATGCTCGACGAGCGTCTTCAGCACCTTGGGTATAATTCAAGGGCTTCGACAGGGGCTTGCTCAGCACTACCCGACGGGATCGTAATTGTGTAGCAGCGCTACAACCGACGTGTTGCCCGATGGCTAAAAACACCCTCACCAGCGCGATCGCAATCGCGGTAGATGGTACCAACTCTGTCTTATACAGTAAGACCTTCGACGGAGGCGTCGTCGCAACAGCCTTCCGACGGAACTTGAAACAGTAGCAGCGCTACACAACGTGTTGCCCGATGGCTAAAACACCTACACCGGATCGGTCGCAACCAACTCCAGTGGAACCAACACAATTAAGGGAAAAATAGATGTAGAGATAGAAAAGGATAGGGAAATAAAGGAAAGAGAAAAAGGGAACCCCCGAGCGCAAAGGATGCCGTAGGCTTAGGTAAAAGGGAGCGTCTTGGTAGAGACGGACTTCGACCAAGGCGACATTC